GAGGTTGAGGGTTAGAGGTAGTGGCTTGAGGTTGGTAGGATTGGTTATATTGAGGTTTGGGTTGGTATTAGTTTTGAGGGTTGGGTGGGTAGTTGGGTTGAGTGAAACCGGCATGCTTAGTGGGTGGGTACTTTTGGTCATGTGGGTTCTCAACATTGTTGATTTGGTAAGAAAAGTTAGGGTGGTTACGGTAGTTGGGGTTGAACTTGTTGTAGCCTTGACCACCAATGTAGTTCACTTCTTCACTCCCTTCTACACAACCTTCAACATCTTCTTAATAGCTCTCATAAACATCGGTTTCGGAAACAAAGTGGACCGGTTTTTGATTCGCAAGAATCATCTTGTCCATCTTATCATTGAGAGCTTTGATCTCCTTGTGATGTCGCTCACTCAAGTCTTTGGTATCTCGTGAAGTACGGTCATAATCTTCACATTAATATTTATACCGGTTCAACTATTATCGATCCAAATTTGCATTGACTAACACATCAAAAATACACTAATTGCTCACTTAATCTAAACTAATCAAGATTGGTTTTGGTTTCAAGCTACTACTAATGATGCAAATCTAGATTAAAAAGATGAATCAAAGCAAATAAATGAAGATGCAAATAGACTAACAAGATTCAAAGAGAAGCTAAGCGGGAAATAACGAAATTCAAACAATAAATAAAGGTGAATCAATGAGCTAATGGTTATTGATCTATGTAAATGAAGATATGGGCTATGGAGTCAACAAATCAAATTTCTAACAAGCAATATCATTTGGCAAAGAAGACTAAATTAGGCTAACACATTTCCATGACATTAATCCCTTTACTAATCAACCAATAACCAACATTTGTCAAATGACAATCAATTGATTAATAAGCATTTAAACAAATCTATTTATCCTCTAAACACCCTAATCAACAATTTCCAAAGGCTAGGAATGTAAAGATTTTAAAGGTTTTTGGTTGGGAATTTCATCAAACACCTTCCGGGCATGAAATTCATATGATTTAGAGACAACTTGATCAATGTTTTTCTAGCATGATAAACAACCAATAAGTAGGGATAAACATAAATCTAGGCCCTAAACTCCATAACCCAACACTAAATCACCCTACATCTACCATAGCTCAAAGACTCTAAATAACTACTCACTAATCATGATGATTACACGGTAGAAATGAGTTGTTCTTTGTGAAATCATTAAGAAAGAGAGTAGATTAAGAAAAGGAAGAAGTACTTATATGAAAACTTAAAGATTCAAATACAAAATCCAAAAGAGAACTTTAATCTTATATATTCTTAAACTCTAGATCAAAACATAAATCTCCAATATAAGTAATGCAAATAAATTGTTCTTTCCTTAGCGTCAAAGAACAACTAAACAACCAAACTTTACATTCTCACAAAACGTACTATGCATTACCTTTAAAGGAAAGATTCAGATGCAAAGCGGACATGCGGTCCTAATAAAAATAAAATTAAATTGATACAGACCGACAACAAACCTCTTTTACATAGAAATAAAATTAATCAGTTGTGATTTGTTGTCTGTTACGGATTTATCATTGACGGATTTATCCATCTTGACCGCAGTAACTATTGACACTCTTATAATTTCAACTTTGTAAGCAAACATCAAAATATTTCAGACTCTTCCTATCATCTCTATACACTTGTAAAATTTTGGTATATCACAATGAGTAAAACCAACATTTGCATAGCTAGTGAGACCATGGGTGAAAAAAGAAGAGTTAAAAAGACTATAAGTAAGGTTAAAAAAATGTATACGGGCTTAAGGGAGATTAGACAATATTTATCTATTGGGCCTTCATAAAAAGCCCAACAAAACAAAACGCGCGTGTATCACACCAGTAGAGTGACACAGTGATCGTCACCGGTAAATTAGTTGGCAACTCTCTCCGCCTGCTCTTCGATAACTCCGAGGAACCTTTCTCTCTCTCTCTCTCTCCTTAAATCCCATTTCTCTCTCTTTCTCTCTCTCTCACTCGCATTGCGATTAACGAAATTGGAAAAAATGTCTCGTCTTCTCCAAACACCATTCTTACCCTCCGTGTCTCTCCCCACAAAAACACGATCTTCCATTCCGGGTTTCCGGGTAAAGCCCAGAACAATCCCAATCCAAGCAAAGATCCGAGAAATTTTCATGCCTGCGTTAAGTTCGACGATGACCGAAGGCAAAATCGTATCTTGGGTTAAATCCGAAGGCGATAAGCTAAACAAAGGTGAGAGTGTTGTTGTTGTTGAATCTGATAAAGCTGATATGGACGTTGAGACTTTCTACGATGGTTATCTCGCTGCAATCATGGTTGAAGAAGGTGGTGTTGCTCCTGTTGGTTCCGCTATTGCTTTATTAGCTGAAACTGAGGATGAGATCGCTGATGCTAAAGCTAAAGCTTCCGGTGGTGGTGGTGGTGGGGATTCTAAAGCTCCTCCTCCGCCTTCTCCTCCTCCGGCTGCTGTTGAAGCACCTGTGGCTGTTGAGAAGAAGGTTGCGGCGCCGGTTAAGGCTGTGGCTGCGTCTGCGGTTCATCCGGCGTCTGAAGGAGGGAAGAGGGTTGTTGCGTCTCCGTATGCTAAGAAGTTAGCTAAGGAATTGAAGGTTGAATTGGCTGGTTTAGTTGGAAGTGGGCCGATGGGAAGGATTGTGGCTAAAGATGTTGAGGCTGCGGTTTCAGACGGAGGAAGTGTTCAAGCTGCGGTGGCTGTTAAGGAGGTAGCGGCAGCTCCTGGTGTGGAGCTGGGATCGGTGGTTCCGTTTACGACAATGCAGGGGGCTGTGAGCAGGAATATGGTGGAGAGTCTTGCTGTTCCCACATTTAGAGTTGGATACACGATTACTACCGATGCTCTTGATGCTCTCTACAAGAAGGTGAGTAAGTTTTGCAAATTAGGTTGGTTGAGATGATAGGAAACTGGAATGGATTGAAGTGTGATTACAGATTGAAAGCATAAGAATTGGTTGATGGGAATGAATAATATGGAAAATTTAGAGAAAATTGTAGCTTAAGGGCTAGAGTTCATGCACTTTTGTTACCTAGAAGATGCTTAAGTTGCTATGCAATTTGGTTGCCAAGGAACCCTTAGAATCGTTCACCACTGTTTTGGGGGTCTTGTTGTCCAATGTAGTATTGTTTCGATTGCATTTTTGGTTGACAAATAGTTGTAATCAGAGAATGAGATTATGAGCGATTGCATACACTGAGTCTAAACAGTAAGTTTTTATTTTTCTTTGTGTGGTTGGTTTAGGTTAAGTCGAAAGGTGTGACAATGACGGCACTCCTAGCTAAGGCAACTGCACTCGCACTGGCAAGACATCCGGTTGTGAACTCTTCCTGTAGAGATGGTAACAGTTTTGTGTATAACAGTAGCATCAACGTTGCTGTTGCTGTTGCTATTGATGGTGGTCTGATCACTCCGGTGCTTCAGAACGCTGACAAGGTTATTTTCTTTTGTATGCTTTCTTTATAACAGGTTTTGAGGTTATTCTGTCTTCAAAACCGGTATAAACAAATTGTTCTGTCTTTTGTTAATAGGTTGACATTTATTCATTGTCTAGAAAATGGAAAGAATTGGTTGATAAGGCCCGAGCCAAGCAGCTACAGCCTCAGGAGTACAACACTGGTAAACCTAATACTAGAATATAGAAACGATTCGAGTTTGAGATTTTGCGACGGAAATGTTTGTTATGTAGGTTCATAATCAGAAGTCAAGATCGTTTGAGACTTGATTCATTTTTCTCCTTCTGGTTAACTTCAGGTACCTTCACTCTATCTAACCTTGGAATGTTTGGCGTCGATCGGTTTGATGCCATTCTACCCCCTGGAACTGTAAGTGCTTTTTAACTTTATGTATTTATACACATTAATTTAGTTACTAAAACTTTTTTTGCCTAACAATATGCCAAGGAATGACAGCTCATTGATTTTCTTGTCTATGATCAATAAAGGGAGCGATCATGGCTGTAGGAGCATCTCAACCTTCAGTGGTTGCTACTAAAGACGGCCGCATTGGCATGAAAAACCAGATGCAGGTAAAGTTTATTAGCAACTATCGTTAGACCTTGTTCCTCTTCCCCTTTTGTCTTCATGAAATCGTCTCGAGATGTCCTGGGAAGTTGTTAATGATGACTGGTTACTTGAAAATCCACAGGTGAATGTGACGGCAGATCATCGTGTCATCTATGGTGCTGATCTCGCACTGTTCTTGCAAACACTGGCGAGCATTATTGAGGACCCAAAGGACCTGACATTCTAGGCCAAATTACTACTTTTCGCATCCCAGTCTTCTCTGATTTTGATTCCATGGGAGCTTGTATTTCTGCGGTAATCAGTTTCTTTGATAGAGTCTACCTTTCAAGAGTAATGTTGAACATAATCATTCCTTTGTTTGAGCTATCTTTGCAACATTTGGCGCATTGAAAGGCCTTCACACATGATTTTGCTGCTGACTTTTACATATTTATCCACTTACTTCTAATATCGACTGAACTTTAAACACAACTCTAAATGCATAATCTTAGATCTTTCTTGTTTCTCAGCATCTCGAAAATGGAGATGCAGACAATAGACTGCCAAAGGAAAGCAACCTCTATATGCTGTTTATACATACAGTAACATGCAAAAATTTACAAATCATGCCTCATCTAACACTATCACTTAAAGTCTTGTGAGCATCCTTAGGACAGTCTTCATCTTTGGCCTCGCCCCAGGAGAGATGTTTATGCAGGCAAGAGCAACACTGAGAGCACGGAGCATCTGCTTTGTTGCTACAGATGATGTTTTGCTCACTCTGACATCAAGAATGTTGTTGCACTGCTCTTGTTGGCTCGAATGACTCTGCACCCACTTAGCTAACTCTCTTCCTTCACTTACCGCTGGTCTTCCAGTTAAGAGTTCCAAAAGAATCACCCCAAAGCTGTAGACGTTCCCAGCCATTGTCACCCTCATAGTGTAAGCATACTCTGATGAAGAGAAAAAAGTGAAAGATTAAGAAAGTTGATGTTTCTTAGACAGGGCCAAAATCGTTTTTCACTCACCTGGTGGAATGTAGCCGATGGTGCCTGCAACTGCTGAGAGGCTGCTGTTGCTTTTGGAAGGATCGATTACCTTGAACAGTTCAATGTCCCCTACTAGGGGCTCAGTTAGCGACTTGAGCATTATTTTCTTACTAGAGAGATCTGGTAGAAGGATTGGATCACGGCCGCTGGATTTGGATCCATGCAAGTAAGAGATCCCCTGAGCTATCCCAACTGCAATACTGTACCTGCTCGTCCAATCAACTACATCACTGGTCTGATTGTGTAGAACATCGTAAAGGTTATACATGTGAGAAAAGTCATAGACGAGCAAGCATCCTTCTGAATAGAGAACATAAGCTAACGGAACCATTATGTTTGTGTGATGCAGCTTGCCCAACATCTCCAGCTCTAGCTCTAGTTGCTCGCTACTGGCTTGCTGGAAAACCCTGTCTCGTGTGTTAAGTTTTTTGATAAGGTAACTCGAACCAGAGGGCATGACTACTCTGTAGTAACTCCAGAACATTGTCTGATGCAGAGCATTTTCTGGATGGCCAACAGCTTCGACAGCTTTGGTGAAGTTGATGTTTGATCTGTGTATAGCGTTTGAAGTGAGAAGCTTTCCATGAATGACCTCGGGGAGAACAGTTGATCCTTCTTCATCTGGGTCAACCTGCATGTTGTTATTTCCCTTGAAGCGTCGAGAAAGTTTCAGCACGATGACTGTTGTGATCCCTGCCACAAGAGCAAGAACTCCAAGGCAAACAAATATTACAACCATAACTAGTTTGCTTTTCCCTGTTGGCCTTCTCTTGATAGAGACTTCATCCTTATTTCTTGACTTGATCCCGGGGTTTCCGCTGATATTAACTAAAACATTATGGGTGAACCTTGGCATATTTCCGGTTAGCTGGTTGTTGGAAAGTATGAGCTGTCTAAGGGATATTAAACTGCCAGAAGGAGGGATTTCGCCTGAAAAATTGTTATTTGACAGATCAAGAACTTCCAAGCGATCAAGTTGAAACAATGAAGCGGGGATTGGCCCTTGAAACATATTGTAGCTGAGATTCAATGAAATCTGCAACTTCGGTGGCATTACTGGAATCCTCCCGCTTAGCTGGTTATCTCCAAGCTGAAGTTCTATCAAATTCTTCAGATCTCCAATGTTTTCAGGTATTGTACCACTCAGATGATTGCCTTGCAAGTTCATGTTGGAAAGCGTCTTTAGTTGCGAAAGAGAAGGCGGTATGGATCCACTCAGAGAATTCCAGCTGATGTCAAGAATCAAGAGGTTAATTAACAATTTGATAGTATCTGGGATTACTCCTGTAAGCTTGTTCTGCTGCAGTTTTATCACTTGAAGGCGGGTAAGGTTACCAAATGAAAGAGGTAATATCCCGGTGAACTCATTCATAGCCAAGTTCAGGAGATTCAAGCTCTGAAGGTTTCCAAATGCATGAGGTATGTGGCCAGTTAAACGGTTGTTTTCCATCTCCAGATAGGTTAGGTTCTGCAGTGATTCAAACGCAGCAGAGGGCACCGGCCCTCTTAGCATATTACTTCCTAGTCTCAGCCTAAACAGGCCAGGTGAAATGCTTCTCGGTATCCATCCAACTAGTTGATTAGATGACAAATCCACAGAGACGAGTTTAAGCTGCGACAAAAGATCACCTGGAATCGACCCGTTTAGGTTGTTGAAGCTGAGGTCTAAGTTTGCGAGGTTTTTTGTGATCCCTGATGGAATAACTCCAGTGAAATGGTTACGGTTAGCCGCAAATCTACGCAAAGTTTGGATTCTTGAAAGCGATTCTGGGATTGACCCGCTAAGCTTATTGTTGGAAAGAATTAAACTTTCTAACTTGGTGAGGTTTCCCAATGAACTCGGTATTGAACCAACAAGCTGATTATCACTGAGATCTATCAGCGTTAGTTCTTGATAATCTTCAATACCCTCGGGAATAGTACCGGTCAGAAAATTATCTGAAACCTCGAGCTTCTCCAGCCTTTTGCTCAAATTAACCGGAACAGAACCAGTCAAACTGTTGAAGCTAAGATTCAAACTCCTCAACTGAACCAGCCCATCAAAACCATAGTCTGGAATCTTCCCACTCAACGAGTTGTAAGAGAAATCAAGAACCACCAGTTTGGAGAAACCGCGGAAACTAGGAGAAGAAGAAAATTTGTTTGAGCTCAAGTTCAGATGCTTCAACCCAAGAAGTCTTTCGCAAGTCGTCACAAACCCATCTGGGATCAAGCTTAAACTGTTGTTGGAGACATCGAGAGACTCCAAAGTCTTGAGTTTGCAGACAACTGGTAAGAAGGAAGAATTGGAGATATCAAAGCCAGAGACAGATATGCTAATCACAGAGCCATTGTCTTGTCCGCTGCAAAGAACACCGTTCCATGAACATGGATTCATCTCAGAACCAGGAAGGTTCCAATCCGAGATATTAAGAAATCTCGAGAGTTCGATCATTGTGTTTGTCTGGTCCAAAGACAACTCCGAGAAACATACATGGCAACAACAAGGCAGGAAGATAAAGAAGAGACAGAACATGAACTTGCCTGTTTCTTGAGAAACATGTATCGTCTTCCTCTTCATCTTTTTGACCCTAATGATTATTGTTTTCAGGCAAAAAAAGAAAAGGATGATGAAAAGCTTAACGCGTAAAAAGAGTGCCGAGAAAATTCGTTTAGAAAAATGGAAACAGACAGGTCAAGAAGAGAATGGTTACACAGTGACTCTGGTCTGTGGCGTGTTAATTGGGTTGTAAGGAGTTGACTTGACCGATGCGTTGTGACACACGAGTCTTTTGAGCTTTCATGTTCCATGTCACACTACTCTTTGTTTTTTTTTTTTTTTTTTCCATTTCTTAATAAAAGTAGTTACTCTTTCTTGACCATAATAGTTTTGTTTTGTATTTTTTTTCTTCTCTTTAGAGAAAACCGTGGACCACTCTAATTTTTTAAATTATTTAACTTTAACAAGTATAGGGCTTAGAAATTTCAAGAAAATGCTTAAAAAATATTTCTTATTGATTTTAATATATAACTTGGAGATAATCCGTCCTATAGCACGGAATAACATATTTAGTAAATATTTGTTTTTGTTTCTAACAGTTTAAATATATGAGATATAGTGTTTATTTATAGATTGGGTTTAAAAATTGTCACTCCAAAAAACAACTCTGGTGACCAAACAATCTTTACTCCTAGTAATTTACAAAGTACACAAATTATATTATAGTTTAGATGAACGAGCACCAATAAAACTAATTAAAAAATCAATCAGATGCTAAGATTTGGATGATAATTATAAATAAGCCATTTTTGGGATATGTTTGTTAACTGCTAAATCTCTTAATATTTATGTATTATTGATCTTGAGAAAAAAGAAACATATATACATATATATAGGTTCTAGTTTTAATGTTAACCTTAATGAAACTGATTTTGACCAATAGCTTTAGTCAAGAGATTGACTAACTATTTTTTTTTTTTTTAAACATGTATGGTAGAGACAATACTGGTCTTTCTTAATATGCTTTGTACGTTCATGAAATATTAGATTAGCGGCAATGTGATGAGAAACTACAATTATTCGAGTCATTTGATTTATTGCTATGTAAAAGGCATAGGTTAATATCCAAACTTCGTAGAAGAAAGCAATACAATTTGTTGCTTCTTTGTTTTCCTACGAATGGGAGAGTTTTAGAGCCATACTACTTACTCTACCGAATGAAGACGAGGTTTTGGACATGCTTCCCAATATGAATCACAATAAGCAGCAAGATTCAGATCTGAAATTTTACTTAACAAAAAGCTTTGCTCATAGGCTTCGGTTAGATACTGAACAACTCGTTAAACCTCTTCCCATTGTCGTCGACGAGGTTGAGCGGGAAATTATGGCGAAACCATCTTTACGTCATAGTTCATTGGTATCGATCGACACTGATGCCTTAGACATCGATCCAGTTGCTTGTCCTCGACGAATCCCCATCTTCAGGCTCTCTGGGGATGATGATAACTCTCCAAAGGGTCTTACAGAGGCACCATGACATATAAACAATCACACAAGTAAAGAAATCAACCAAACAATTATGAAACCACCCAAAACAATGATTAAACCGCTCAGATAAGTCATAGTCATGCACTCACCTCGTGATTGGAATGAAAGAATGACAAAAGCATGAAGAACATAGGAATATCATATCCCTCATGTAACGCCCCGACCATCAACTCTCCAGTGGGCTTCATGTTCACTCTCATCCCATGGGCCCACCTCTCTTGATGGGCCTCACGTCCTCTCACTAGGCCCGTGAGCCCATCCATATCCCGATGGTCGGTTTTCTACACATGGGAGGCTTAAAGACTTGTTTACCGACCCTACAGATCACCACATGATCTTTCTCAGTGTTTTGGCCTCACTCACACAGTTCCGACAACCCCTTCCCAGAAGGTTACCCATCATCGAACTACTCCAGCATCAGCACGCTTAACTGTGGAGTTCTCTCAGGACCTTTGACCAAAATGTAAGTGCACTTTGATGACATAGGTGGCCAAATCAATTCAATTAAACTTCTCCGCAAACTAGAGTCTCACAATTCTCTCGCACTAACAGACCGCAACGTCGTCGTTGTGCACAACGATCGTTACCCCCTAATAGTGTGAGCCCACCACTCCACAATTGTTTGGGTTCGGCTCTAATACCACTTGTAACACCCCGACCGTCAACTCTCAAGTGGGCCCCATGTTCACTCTTATCCCATGGCTCACCTCTCTTGATGGACCTCACGTCCTCGCACTAGTCCCATGAGCCAATCCATATCTGACAGTCAGTTTGCTACGTCTGTGAGCCTTAAAGACTTGTTGAAAAGAATCAACCCATTTTTTCTTTTTTTTAGCATGCAAACCGAATTAATCCAATTAATTAAAACCAACTAAACCAGTCCTAATCAATTTAAACCAGCTAAACCGGTCTTAATCAATTTAAACCAATTAAACCGAATGAATCAATTAAACCAATCCAATGAGCAATAACTAGCGGAAAACTTAACCAAATAATCCAAATAATTTAATTGCATTAAACTTGCATCTCAACCATAACCAAAACATTCATCATCCAAAAATAGAAATAACAACCTGACATGTTTCTAAGTTCCGGACTAACAACCTAACCATTCAAACAATAATACAGAGACAACCAACGAGTCCCTAGATCATCCCGTTCTCCACGCCTTGATTCCACGGTCACACTTTTCCTTTACCTGCATCAGGAAAAGAGATGCATAAGTATTTCTAGAAATACTTAGTGAGGCATTCATCCCACTACTGGCTATACACACAAGCAATAATGAAACACATTCAAGCATTAACCATCACAAGCATCAACAATCCATGAACAATCAATATAAAACCCAATATGACGAGTAGTGTCGATCGACACCTTCCACTGGTGTCGATCGACACCAAAGCCCTAACTTTGCTCCAGTCGCTTCTCATCAATAAGTCTCCCCTTCCTTGCACTCCATGGCCGAAATAACACTTCCTCAGGCTCGTCCAAAGTCCCCATATCATAGAAAACAAGCATACAAGCAAAGAAATCAATCATCAATCAAAGGAACGCCAAAACATGCATTAAAACTGCTTAGATAAGCCTTGGTCATGCACTCACCTTTGAATCTAGAAGAACAACAACGAAACAGAGACTAAGAGTGATGCAGCGAGATATTCCAAATATCTCTTATTATTATCTCTTAATTTATTTATTATAATTATTCTAGAATATTCTTAGTTTTAGGGTTTTATGCTTTATTATAAATAGGCTTCTTAAGCCTCCTATTGTATTCAGTTATTTGATATATTGATTAATCGAAAGATTTAAAGAGGTTTTAATAAACCACTGTGAAGAGTATTCACAAATCCAAGAGCTTTTGCGAAAGCCCTGAGAGGAGGACTCTCAAACCCTAGATTTCCGGGTATTCTGAGAATCAATGGATCTCTAGTCCTATCCCTAGAAGCTTCCGCTCCATCATTTGGTATCAGAGCTGCGTCTCTTTGATTTCTAAATCAATGAACGATTCTGGTTATCACATGGCAAGTGATTGCATCTACCCTATCATGGACGAAAGTCCTTTTATCGAGAGAGAGGAGAACCACCAGATCTACAGAGAAATTGTTGGTGATCCGATCTATGATGTTTATGAAGAAGATCTTATTTGTGCAAAGTTCGGGCGAAATCAGATCCGTGCAAAATTCGGGTTTTCTGCAGAAATCATGAAACCACCGATTTGTGTAAGTTTCATGCAAGTTCCGACCTGTACATCCGTCGAGGAGGTGATTTGTGCGAAATTTTGGTCAGATCCGGTTCGTGCAATTTTCGGGTCAGATCCGGTTCGTGCAAATTTTGGGTCAGTTACAGTTCGTGCAAATTTCGGATCAAACCGGGATTGTGCAAAAATCGAGCTAAATCAACCGACAGAGATAAAGATGGATCTACAAAGATCACTTTTGCTAAAAAATCTGCTGAAGATTCGAGGGCGAATCTTTCTTGGCCGGCGGGAGCTGATGCAGCGCAGATACAAGATTCGAGGACGAATCTTTTCTTGGCCGGCGAGACCTGATGCAGCGAGATATTCCAAATATCTCTTATTATTATCTCTTAATTTATTTATTATAATTATTCTAGAATATTCTTAGTTTTAGGGTTTTATGCTTTATTATAAATAGGCTTCTTAAGCCTCCTATTGTATTCAGTTATTTGATATATTGATTAATCGAAAGATTTAAAGAGGTTTTAATAAACCACTGTGAAGAGTATTCACAAATCCAAGAGCTTTTGCGAAAGCCCTGAGAGGAGGACTCTCAAACCCTAGATTTCCGGGTATTCTGAGAATCAACGGATCTCTAGTCCTATCCCTAGAAGCTTCCGCTCCATCAAAGAGGGACGAAACAAGCTCTCCTAACACCACACACCACGGATCTAACCTCCTCTAGCCTTGAACCACCAAGAAGAAGCTTCAACCTCTCCAAAAACTCACTCAAAGGCACCAAAAGATCTATTTCTCACTCTCTGCTCTTGGGGCCTTTGACCGAAATGATTAATGCACTTTGGTGACATAGGTGATCAAATCAATTCAATTAAACATCTCCGTAAACTAGGGTCTCACACCTCCTAACACCAACGACCATGAATCTCTCCTTATCTATGCTAGAACCCCAAGAACATGCTATAGAACACTCCATAAATCCCTTGATATAAATAACATGTAAGTTAGAGTATTTTTTTTTGGGAAAAATGCCATAAAAATCCTGGAGAGTACGATTTCGTTGGTTTAAATCCCGAACTTTCCAACTGTTGATTTAAATCACAAACTTTCTGTTTACTTTCTCTTTAATATGAAACTTTAATTGACTTTGCCAATTTAGGCACATCGTTAAATCGCCAAACGGAGCAATTAAACGGGTTTGAATGTCATTAACGAAATCCGTCAAATACAAAATAAAACCGTTTTTAACATAACCCAAACACTTAATCGATTCAACTTTTTCCCCAAAACACTTAACAGAAAGTTGAATCGATTAAGTGTTTGGGTTATGTTAAAAACGGTTTCATTTCATATTTGACGGATTTCGTTAACGACATCTAACCTCGTTTAATTGCTCCGTTTGGCGTTTTAAAGATGTGCCTAAATTGGCAAAGTCAACTAAAGTTTCATATTAAAGAGAGAGTCAACATAAAGTTTGTGATTTAAATCAACAGTTGGAGAGTTCGGGATTTAAATCAACGAAATCGTACTCTCCAGGATTTTTATGGCATTTTTCCCATTTTTTTTTCCATATATTTCCTTAGTTTATGTATGATTATGAACTATAAGTTTACTTAGAGTATGAAAATGGGCAGCTGACCAACCTTACTTAAAAGAAAAAGCTCGTGCCGAAAATATTTAAAAAATTAGAAAAGTTTTATTTTCAAATTAATATGTTGTAGTGACATCTCAAGTGCTAGCTTGATTACTACAGTTAAAGCTATAAGCTTTTATTTGTGGGTTAAAATGGATCGATTTCAAAGTAGGATTTATATATTATTTCATATAAATGCCCATTTATTCAGGTCATGTTGTATGTTAACATAAATTATTGGAGTCAAATTCTGGTAAGAGATATCGAAGAAATAAGTATTTTTTTTTTGTCGCCGAAAAGTTTTATTAGTTTAAGCGTAAGCCCAATGGGCATGCAGATACAAAAGAGTTATAACTAGAGAATTACAGACGAAAGTTAAAAGGCCCAATGTAAACCATAAAAAAAAATTACAAAAGATAATATAAAAACATTTATGGTTTAGCATAAGACACCTGTAGATGAAGTATCTTCTCTAAACCACGCATCAAATTGAAGTAGTTCCACGTCGCCACCGTCTGTTCTTCTCCAACATCACCGGAATCCGATTAGCCACCATCAAATAGCCATAGGGTGATGAAAATCTTTCTCCCTTCTGCCAATCTCAAATCCAATCAAAGGATGCGTCGAAGTCTACAAGATCAAATATATGAAACCTCTTCAAATCTTCTTCGAGAATCATCAACTTCGGGGAAGCTCCACCAACGATTACATCCATATTTTGATGTAATTATTTGCTTTGCTCCTATGATATGAAAAAATAAAAGTGACAAAGATATTACTCCTCGAGTAGTTGAAGAAACAAAGAATACTTGCAAAGGATTATCGGAGAAGTCGCCGGCTTATTCTTCAACAGGCACGCGGTCAGAGCCCAAGGCTCCTCCCACGAAATTAACAGAAAACGTAAATGGATGAGAGATCTTTATCTCGCTTTTTAGCGAGAAAGAAAACCGGACTTAGCCGGTAGAAAGATTCGGATCTTAGCCGGAAACTATATTACAAAACAAGAATTTCGGTGTACCGGAAATCTCCTTCTCTCTTTGAAAAATAGAGATGTGATAAGAGAAAGAAAGGTAGTAGCTTTAGAAGAAATAAGTATTTAGTCACTTGGAATATGTAAACTATATATCTGGAATATGTAACGTTAAATCTCTAGCTATTTAATGACTCTATATTTAGTGTGACAATTATAAAAAAGTATTATAAAAGCATAATATCACAATAACAGAGAGATGTTTATTTTATTAATGAACTATAGAGAGATACATATTAGAGACACATATGACAACAATGAACATTGTTGACAATTAAAAACAACAGAAGAAGACATCACAATACTAGAAAACAAGAACATATCTAAAATTTATATAATAATAACTTCTCTAACCATTCTTGCCTCTATTACACCATGAAACATTGCCATTTAAGCTTTTGATTTAGTTTGGGAGATTGGTCTCAGACTTCAATTTATTGACCTCCTCCTTTGAACATATTAATATCTTCTTCACCATGTTGCAAAATTCACTATATGCACACAATACCAAAAATGTAATATTATCTCTAAAATTATTAACTAATTTATAATAAATAAAAAATGAAAAATAAATCTTACAGCCATGGAACGTCCCCCATAAGGACAACATCTCCTTCATGGTCTGTGAAAACCATTTCCCATTGGTTACGGGATCGCAACTCGCCTGGGAGATCAAAGAGCTTCTCAAGTTCATGAATTAATTGATCATATCCGTTAAGAACACTTAAATCCAAAGCTCTTCCTACAGTCACACCTTGCATTTGAACCTTTTCAATAACATCATATATATTAAAATTTTGTGAGTGGATTACAATGTGAAAAAATTCATGTATGAAAAATTAAGAATATGATGATCTTATACTTACCTTAGTACAACTTCTAGTTGAAGTAAACTGCTTACTTTCTGCCATCTTTGGTAATTTAAATGTTGGGGTCAAACCAATTTTTTTTTCTTGAGAGAGTTTTGAAGTATTAGATACTTGGTATGACTCATTTTTTCCGAAAGGAACGACAAGAGAGACTCCAAACAATCTAAAACTAGTGCCTCCTTCATTGGCCATGCTTGGTTGTACTACTTCTGGATTTTGTGTTAATATAGGAGGCAAGAGATGTGGTGAAAATGATGACGAGCCTTTATATATAATAAGAATAGTGAGTAGGTAACGGAAAGAATTTCACATTAAATAGGAGTTTATAAGAATGTCTCTATTTATTTTTTACCAATTTCGTTAACATGTCGTGAACGCTTGTTCTTGATCAGCAAAGATGATTGGGGAACATTTGATGAAGACGGTATATGTTCGATTTCCCATGGAGAAACCTTTTCAGGCCTGGGAAAAGATGCAAGTTCATCCCATTGCACCTTGAAAATTAGAGTTAATTAGTCAGATTTTATTCATTACACTCAAAACCATATTTTAAAAAAATGTTACAAATTTTGAATGAAAATTTACTTGTAAGCTTCGCCATTCTGAATCCTTCCAATGAGGGGAGAAATTACCAACTCCAATAATTGTCCCAGAATATCTTAGTCAATAAAAAAAACGTTTCATATAGTAGAGAATGAATGAGAAAAATATATATATATAAAAATTGATATGGTAGTACCTTTTTTCAGAGAAATCCTCAGCCTCGAACCGCATAGTAAATCTGGATCCGACATTAAACTTATTGTTCACAGCATCTAAGAATTTGTCGTAATTGACAATAAATTGACTTGATCTGATACATATCAAAAACCAAAATATAAACATGCATACATGTTAAAGAACCAAATCTTATGATATTTCATAGAATCATTAATGTGAGTTCACGTTGTTCTTTAATTACCTTGGCTTGAAAACTACGGTGAACATACATTGGTTATGAAAAGCATGCAATGCAGAAGCAATTACTCCATGTCTCATATTTTCTGTTGATACTAGTGGTGAAGTTATGTTTCCTTGTTGATGTCTTGCCCGTCTGATACCAACTCGTAATTCTCCAGTTTCTCCCCTGAAACCACATGTAAATCATTTAAATCCAATGCTCAATATGTAAAAGATATGTAAAAAATGTATATAATATATTACCAAAGGAGTATAAAAGCATCACCAACAACTAAACTTACCGAAGGAGTATAAAAGCATCACCAGCAACTAAACTTTTTGTTGTTATGAATGCACTCCATCCTGTAGTTAAAAGATGTCTTTGTGGTGTTCCTACACTCAAAAAAAAAATTATTAGTTACTAATTACGATTTTCAAATATATTTGTGAATAAAAGAATTTCGTACCCCTAAAACTGTGTTTGAATTTCCAAACACTATCATGTAGATCTTTAGTAAGAATATCTTGGGTAGGCACCGGTATAGCCATATCCTAATAAGGCAATATTTAGTACACAAGTGTGAAATAAAAGCTTAAATTTTTAATTCAAATAATAGGAAAACTAAAAAAAAAAAATACCAGCGGAGGGAGACATTCAGTTGCACTTCTCTTGGGGACCGATAATCCGCCATGAGTGCTTGTGTCTGAGGCCGTTAAAATCTTCATAAAAGAATTAACTTTTGGCCTATATTGGCTATCATTTTGAGTTGGGATTACAACTTGCTATACATTAATGAATATTAGAAAATCAGTTAGAGATAATAGGAGGAATCATCTAATCAAGACTAAAGTAAAAATTTGATTATATTTCACCCACTCTTGCATCTGGTATCAATGTAATCTCAGCGTAAACTTGATCAGTATTTTTTTCCGCCTAAAATTAAAAATTTAAAAATTAATAATTTACTTATGGATATAATGAGATAAAATATACAAAATAAGATAATAATGCTCATGTGTATTTCTTATCTCATACCTTAAGCCTAACAGAAATAACACGACATTCGAGCTTGGAAGGGAGATCAAAATTTGATTGTATTTGATTTAATTCTTCTCTTGTAGCAGCCTCAACCTGAATATTTTATGAAAATGTTTCAAATACCTAATTGAAAACAAAACAGGGGATATAGATAGAAGGAGAGAGAACTAACTAGCTCTATGTGGCCTTGAGGGAAATAATAGACTTTATCTCTAAGATTTGGAAGATGACACAAAGGTCCAGCACACAATTTCCATAATTGCTCAGACATATAGCTTTCGCTTCCATTAACTAGTTAAAAAATAACCAAAATATTAAAACCCAATAAAGTTCATAATGAAAGAAAAAAATAAAACTTCTTACATGTGCCTGATAAATCAGGTTGTACATTTGCAACGTTGCAACCGTCCATTTGTTTTTATCAAAGGATCAACTTCTCTCCCTATCATGAAAACACAAAATGACACATTACTTCCAAAAATATAACATAAAAAAATAATAAACATTGTGAAAAAGTGGAAATTCAAAAATACCCTTTTTCAAATATTACTTTTCAAAAATATCATTTTTCAAATTTGATTAAAAAAACCACTAAAAATATTTAAAATTTACCTAATATGTGTGTAAGCTTATGAATATACACACAAATTACTTTTAGATGTGTATAAAGTTTTGTATATATTTAATAAATACCGTATAAATATCTTATAAAAGCTTTTAAAAACCTTTAAAACCCTTATAGAAATTTTTTAAAAACCTTGTAAAGATGATTTAAAACGTTTTTAAACATTATAAATTAATCAAATCTAAAGTACCTTGTAAACTATATAAAACTCTATAACGTTTCATATTTAAATAGATGTATTTTTGAAAATGGATAGAAAAGGGGTATTTTGAAAAGGAGTAATTTAGCTAATATTAATATTTTTCAAAAATATATATTATATATTACAAACATGTTAAATCATATAACTATAGAAATAAATAATACCTAGATCTAATGAAGTGGAGAGAAATTCCTAATATTGCTCAAGCTATGTATGATTAATGTATACTAATTTTCTTCTTTGAACGATATTATTTATTTTTGGATGAGTTTTATGAACTAGAGAGACAAGTATTTATAATAAAAAATCCTAAAGTTGTACTTCTTTAGAGTCAAACCTTTTGAATATGTATTTAATTACGTTACCAAAAATTATATACTTGAATCAAGGTAATTTATTGATTGATCATTGTTTTGACTGAATATGAAGGTAATTTTGTAATATTCATTTATTTAGTGATTGAACATTATTTAATTACATTACCAAAAATGATATACTTGAATAAAGGTAATTTAGTGATTGATCACTATTTTGACTGAATATGAAGGTAATATTGTGATATTCATTAATTATTTTGACTAGTTATATACATCATAATTAGTTTGACAAAAACATTAATCAGGTTATCAACATTCTTAGATGTATATTTGAATAGGTTACCAAAAACAACATATACAATATTACTTTAAACCTATACATTACAATAAAAAACCTTAAATTAATCATAGACATAAATTGTTTTAATAGATTTTATTTTGCTAAATAAAGATTCTTGTTTGATTGATCGCCTAAATGGGTCCATGGCAACAGTTTGTACCAATGGTAGTGGTTTGGCCTCTCAAAGGATTTGGCATATACAATAATTGGTTTCATCAAAGCCGTGGAAGAGCAATATTGTTGTCTGTCAACATGTAACACCCGTGTTCGAAAATGGGTGGTGTCGATCGACACCAAGATAGGGTGTCGAGCGACACCAACATTTTTCGGTTAGGTCGGTTTAATTTTAATTGCAAAATCAGCTTAATTAGGTCGGTTTAACCCTAGGCTTGACATTTAAAAGAAGAGAAGTCGACCTTTGTCATTCTTCAGCAGACTTTAGCATTTTACAGAGAGTGAAAGAGATTGAAAATTTTTGAAGGTTTCTGTAACGCTTTTTGGTGGTGTTTCTAGGCTGTTCTTGCTGTTTCTAAGCCAGAAGAAGTGAGATCCATGCTGTGTGGTGTTAGGAGAGTCAGATCCTTGCTTGTTTTTTTGATACAAGACTCGGTGGTGAGCTTGTACTAGGATAGAGATGATGGCTTCACAAGCTGGCGGTCGCTTCTCTCTTGTGAAGGAAAAATGGTCGATGATGGAGATCTGACATGATGGCGGTCGCTTTTCTTGTGTGGGATCGAATGACGGGGAAGTGCTGGCGGATTGAAGTACACCACAGAGATGTGATTGGTCAATGATACAGTACATCACACACACAAGACAAAGAACAAGTTTTTATCTTAAGAACACTGAAAGAGAAAAAGAAAGAAAGTTTGTTTTTTTATTGATAATCAAAGGTAAAAACTCATACAACTGCTGCAGGGGGACTTTAGAAGAGTCCTCAAGCTAGCCCTAAGGCCAGTGTTTTTACGCCTGGATCGGACCCGTCGGTCCGACCGGTTAACCCGCGACCCGAACATTTCTCCGGTTTGGGTTTAGTATTATAATCCAGCAATTTCAAAACCGCAAAACCCAAGAAAACCCGCTATTAACCCGCGATCCGGTTGGTTCAACCGGTTTTAATTATTTTAAAACTCTTTAAACTTTCTCAATCAACACATAACACATCATGTTTCGGTTTCGTAGTTGAGCATAATTTTTCTTCTTTTTATTTTTGTTCTTTTATTTGAAAATTCATGGTTATTTGATGTTAACTAAATATTGCTAATTGTTCATATTTTGATTTGTGATGTTTTATTTGCGTGTTTTGTTTTTTTAATACTTTTTTTAGATTTGAAACTTTTAGTCACTTTATTATTACTGTTATTAGAATTTATATTTTGTTAATATGCTACGATCTTTTATATTTTTATGTTCATAAAAGTATATAATATATAAATAAATTTTAATTATTTAACGTGTGGTCGAACCCGGTCAACCCGAAGACCCGGTGACCCGAAAGCTAGTCTGGTTCACCATCCGGGTCGGGTTTAAAAACATTGCCTAAGGCCGAAATTAATGTAAAAAGTGCAACACAAAAACAAATAAAATCACAAACACAAATTAATCGTTTTTTGAAAGAAAATAATTCAAATACTAAAACAAACTTAAAACCTCTTGTTGTGCACGTCTTCTAGCCGTTGCTGAGGACCTACGAAGATCGAATATACTGAATAAAACTTACCTGGATGCAATCTAGGCCCAATCGATGTTCTCTGAACTACGGCATCTTCTATTACTCGTTGATCTACTTCATGAGTCTTGTCAGGTAATCGCTTGTTGGTTGGTTTCTTGAAGTAGAGGGATTCCTGGAGTTTCTCTTGGGTAGCTTGATCGTTCTCTTGAAGTTCTTCCATGTCCTTGATGTCTTGTTCTTGATCTTCACTCTTGATTACACGAGTATTTAACCCGATAACTTAACCGAAGTAAAGTATATGCGGGATCGATCACAAGGAGCAATGGTACACTAAAGACTTGCGAGACTCGTTATCAGCTGAAGCGGAAAAGACTTGTTGTTTGGTTTTTCAGTTTGTAAATAAAAATGCAAAAAGAAACTGTGATTAAACTTATGAATAAAAGACATTGGGCAGCATGGTACTTTCAGAGAATCAATGAATAACAAATAAAAGCAATAAGGTATTCAAACATGAAGAATCGTTCTTGAACATGAACAGAAGTTTAGACTACTTCTCTCTCAAGACATTAATCACTAAATTTAACTATTCAATTACTAAACTCTCATTTGTAATTTCCTAGCCAAATTTGCATTATCAAACAGGTTAATTTGGTTCACAAAGCAGGGTGATCAATCCTATTCTAGCATTGAGAACATGTCAATTGAAGAACCTAAAGATTAAGAATTCCCTAATACATCTAATCTTTCAAATCATTGAATTCTCCTACTTGGAACCCTAAAACCCAATTAAGAACTACTCACACATATTGCAGAAAATAATACAAAAGGATATGAAAGAAAAAATGATTGAATAGATTAAAATAAGAATAGGGTTTAGAAATCTTCTCCAAATTGTCAAAGAGGATGGATTATTCTCCCCAAAATTGTTTTGAAAGCAAAGAACAATGTATAGAACTGAAAAATATGAAGGATAGCTGCTAAAAAGTCGAGCCTAGAGTATAAAAACAATAGGAGACGAGTTGGATCTGTTTCGGATATATGGGCCAATATCTGCGTCAGAGGTAAGGGACCGAACGATCCAAATATAGACGGATCGATCTAATGCTCCCAGGTTTTACTTCTCCATCAGCTTCAACAACTCGTCAGAATGACCTGTCTTCACGAAATCGGGTGTAACTTTTTAATGCACCGTTAGATTTCCTTGAAATAACTTTCAAATGAAAGCTAACATCTGTATTTATCTTGTGTTAAAACCTGTAAAGACTCTATAAAATTTATAAAATGAAAGAGAAAAGAAAGACTTCAAACCGATAAAAACACAATATATCAACTCTCTTGATCACTCTCGAATGTGAATCTTGTTTTACTCGTCTCTTGTAACTCCATTGTCCTCTCTTGGATTCTAGAGGTTTCTTGACCTGCCAAAGGAGAATTCATACTTGGGGAAATGGTACGTTCAAGTTTCATTCGAGTGATTGCTCAGCAAGCTCTTCCTCGGGAATGGGATTATATCCTATCCGTTGTGATGGAGTAAAGGTGGTACATACCAGTTGACGTCATTCAGCTCTAGTGAGCTCACAATGTCTTGTACAGCTAAGTTGAATCTCTGTCTAAGCTGTTTAGACTTTGAACGAGTCATGGGACCTTCTGGGACGACTGGTACAGTTTAAGCGGGTTGCACAAAAGAATCGATCTCCGCATCATTTTTCTCTGTTTTGTTTTTGTTCATCCATTGCAAAGAGGTGAGTGCATGCCCAAGGCTTATCTAAGCAGTTTGATCATTGGTTTGGATGTTTTGATGACTGTTGATTGATTTCTTTACTTGCTTGGTTGTTTATGTGTTCTACGATCCTTGTGGTCTTCGCGAAAAGTGTGTATTGGGAAATGAAATACAACATTTTAATAAAACAAATAAAACAACCAACTCGTAAAGACCCGTGTAGTTTAAAAAGAATCATGAAAAATGAGTAGTAATCAAAAATAAAAGTATAATTAAATAAATATAATTGAAACATGACGTAAAAATGAATATAACTGAAAAATGAGAAAAGTTAAATCCCTATAATATAGGAGTGGCCGCATAAATCAAAAATTTCCTATGATAACAATTGTAATATTGATTTACTTAACTAAATTTTAAGTTAAAAAAAAACTTATAGAGTATACTCTTAGTAAATATAGTGATTTACTATATATAATATAAGGAATATTTTATCCTTAATATTCAGTTTGAAAAGAAAAAAACAGAAATAAAAA